GTAGAATTATTAACAAATTTGCTATAAAATGCTTTTTACTGCATTATGCAAGTACTCTATACTGCAAACATGTATTCTTAGCTGAAATATAAAAGGGGATATAGTGAAACAAAACAAGGAAACAAACATACTAAATGGAGAAATTTCGCTCATATTGAAATAAAAATAGCCTATATACGCACTTGCTCCGTTTACGAACTTACCACACTTTACCTTATATCACTTCGTATACAATATGACTGACAAAACTCCCTTTGTAATTATATTACAGGTGTATCGCGACATAACAATGGTCTTATTCGCAGCTACACAATAACATGATACATAGATCAAACAATGTTTCATATGAATCTTGCGAATAAGATATCTACATTTTATAAATGTTACTTTCAAAGCAGTATCAGAAGTAATTCTGCATACGTCATAGATCCAGTGGCAGTTAATGTGTCAAGGAATAAGTTAACACTAGATTGCCCAAGGAAGTCATTTTGACTGTTTTTTAATTTCAATTAAAAAAACAGTTATGTATATAATGACACAATTTCTTGGAATTTTGTGACTTTTTGTACAACATATAAATGCGTTTATTAATAATTGTAGTTACTTTCCCCCTACTTCATTTCCGGTATATATATGTATATGTATATGTGTTATACCTACATTGCCCAAAAGCAGTCATTTTGACTGCTTGGGAAATTTTAAATAATCAAATGACTCTCATTATTGAATTGAGTAAATTTCTTAAATGTCTAGTTTGACTCTGTATTGAAATAACAGTTCTCATTTTTTTCGATTACCGTCACATGATAAATTGTCGATTTGGGCGTATACTTGATAAGTTGCAGTTGCTCAATAAGCTAAAGTAGTACTTATTATTCGAATCTTTATGCAGTGATACTTGTTCTAACAAGTTGTTTATTTTATTTCTTTTGCGCCCTAAATTCATGAAAGAAATGTCAAATAGGAGTGAGTTATTGGAGAAGCTAACGAACATAAGTGAAGAGTGCTCCGATATAGAATCAGATGCAACAAATTCTGAACTATCATCTGAAGATGAAGCGGATTATATTCAAAGTGAAACATCTGGTACTGAAGATAGCGATGAAGAGTCGATCACCAATGATTAAAATGAAAGTGTCATCAATATGCCCAGAAAAAGGTGTAGGGTGCTAAGTAGTTCAGACTCTGATGAAGAAACTGAAAACACCTTTCAAGAGACCTAAACAGTTGCCGATGGTACTGTGTGGTCAAAATTTGACGAATGTGGTATTCCTGGAAGGTTACCATTTACTTGTATTTTGTATTGTTAATATTTACTAATAACTTGTTATATAACTGTCAATAATATAAAAAATATTAAAAATTAATTTTAAACAAATTTCTTTACACATTAGTTATTCTTCACAATGCAGTCATTTTTACTGCTTTTGGACAATATAGGTATATACTAAGATTCAGTCTTTCTAGTCTTTAAGCATAAAAATATCGATATAATTTCATCGTTGAAAAAGAAATTAATTTTCGTCTATAATTGTATTACTGGTAATAATTTGTTAAAGTTTTGAAAATGTATAAAACTTTCCAAGGCGAATATGCAGCTTCCTTGTAAATAGCTGCTTCTTTCCGAATAAGATGCATTAACCGTTTCGAGGAGATCCAGCCGAAACATTTGAAATTTAAAGCACTTCAGAAATAAATTAAATGTCCTGTGCTCATATCTGACAAGCATTTCATTCTAATTCTACGCTGAATCGTTACAAAGATGTAAAGTGGTGAAATATTACAAAATTTGTGTCATAAATCTTGTGAGGCCCGTTGGCAAAGAACTTTTGCTTATTCAGATGAAACATATTCAGACGGAACTTTTAAATTTCGTACAGACTAGTTCTTAGTGCTAATAGATATAATAACATTGTAAACTACATTCTATAATTTCAATTGATTGATTTGTTGAAATTAATAAAATTAATAAACTTAATTAAGATATTTGAGAATTTTTATATACGCTTATTATTAAATGTTTTGGAGAAAAAAGGTACCACTTTATATAAGGTTTTTAATTTTGCGACGTTTCGATTGTACATTTTGAACTACTTGAAGCTTTATTATAATCATAATAATGCTCATGAATTATTCGGATCATTTAAATTTCAAATCCATGTGTTACTGCTTTGACTACTCAATAGCAGTAACTAAATAGCAGTGGGAACATTCAAATATTCGTATTTAAATTTTTGAATAATTTATATGTTTGAATATTCGAATTATTCGTATTTTGAAATCTGTGTATTATTAGTATTCAAATAGTATTTGAATATTCGTCTGAGTTATTAAGATATTTGAATCTTAAATCTGAAGTCTGAAGTAGAAATATTCTGCATATTCCAATTCTCAAGAAGAAATATTTAAGTATTAAAATTTAAAATCTGAATTGTACTGGTATTTCAGTTGTACTTATGTAATCAAAATAATAAACTTATTTGAATCTTTTATCGTTTCTGTTAGAATTCGAATACCGAATTATTCAAATTGCAAATTCTAATTTAAAACATTTAAATATTCAAATTGCAGATCTGTATTTCACTAATATTTAAAATTAGAATATGAGACTGTAAGGATGGCTTAAATAAAATTCCAAAAATCGATGTAAACATGTTTATTCAGGCAACCGTTAACGACTGACGACCGACTCTCGGTCGTGTAGGAAGCTTATAGAAACAGAAATCAAACGAACTATATTTTATAACACAAAAAGAATGAACTGAACTTAAAAACTTGTTTTAAATTAAATGAAATTGTCTACTGCACGGTACGTCCAGTCTCTCTCTCTCTCTCTCTCTCTCTCTCTCTCTCTCTCTCTCTCTCTCTCTCTCTCTCTCCGCGCAAATTCTTACAAATTCTTGCAAGTCGTCCGCTCTCTCGTGTGTTAAACAAACGACGATCGGCAATATAAAACGATGTATATGTATTTCGCATAGCGCACGCTTACAAGGCATTCAAATTTCAAATCCGAAATCTTTTGATATTTGAATGTTTGAATTATCTGATCACGTGAACATTTGCATATGGAAACAACTGAAGTTTTTGAATTTTATACAATTACAGTACTATTAGTGGATTTGCATATTTTAATTATGTGAAGGTGGCCACCATGTATATTAGAATTTAATAGGAAGAGAAATTGAAAATTTGGGTATTTCAGAATTTAGCTGTTTAGCAATTTGATTATTCAGGAACTTGAATATTTGAAAATTTGAAGATATAATAATGCGTTAATTTTGGAATTTTGCTACATCAATAATGTATTAGTTTTAAACAAAATTTGTATAAATGTTAATTGCGTTTATTGCCTATGTTGTGAAGCGGTTTTGACGAGTATTACATGGTATTAATTGCAATTTAAATAAAGTTATTGAAATGAATCAATATGCATTATACGCTAATAACTTAGTATTATTCAAAGATTGAGTAATAATCAATTGCTTCAGGTACAGTAAGTTCAACCAAAATCGTATATCATAAATAGTTTTCTAATTTTGGCAAAAAAATTTACTGGTTAAACGTGACACAATGTATAACAAGCATATTAATATTCCGTATATATTAATTGCTTGTATTTAAAAAAGATACCAAATTCTATAAAATATTTGACACAAAATGATTATGTCTATAACAAGTAAAATAAACTTGTATAATAAATATATTTGAAAATCTTGAATATAACAGCTCTCAACATAATTACACAATTTTCCTTAATGCTGTTATTAATAGAAATGTTTTCTTAACCCTGTGACATTAGCTACATTTTTTCTTGGACTCTCAGTTGTGATAGCGTTTTGACTGTCCTTTTCATTTTAACAATTACTTAAGTATTTTTAAATCTTTATAATGCTATAATAATTTATATAATTTTACTTGGGGTAAGTCAAAAATAATTTGTTAGCAAATGTTGAATAGCTGTTACTATAAATACTGAAAGTTGAAAACTTGTAATTCTTGTTTAAATTCAATTTTCGTAAAAATGGCGAATAATAGGAAAAATCGGTTTAGTGAGAAATATATAGTTCACAAAAATCTATAAGATTCGTTTGATACAAATTTTAACATAGGAACGTGTTAATGTTTATCGAACAGTCACTTGAAATAAAACGATTTTATTTCAAAATCGTTACGAGCATATTCGTACATGCTATCATATAATGCGTGATTTTGAAAATTGAGACAACGTAATGCTTTTTTTAAATCAAAATCTTAAAGTTGTTATGTACTATGTAAGTTATTATATGATCTTTTTTAAATTATTATGTAGTTTAATTTATCCTAACTTCCTATGACCATATTTTTTACATGGATGTATCGATGCATACACCAAAATACAATTCATTATTTGTTATATTACAGAAATAGTAAAACTTTACGAGATATGTATTTGATAATGTATATCAGAAATGTACTTTATGACAATGTGTTAGAAATTCTTTTATATCAATTGACGATTTAAAGGAGCGAATTAAAATGCATTGTTTGAATGTCAGTACAAGTCAACTAAAGCGTATAACGAAAAATGTAAAAAAAAACGTATTAGAAAATATTTGAAGTGTAATGGTGGAACATTTAAACACTTATTCAACACTTATAAAAAGTAATATTAGGACGTATTATGTTATACAATTTTCTCCTGTATTTCTTCTATTTCTACGTTAAAAAGAGTAGTAACTTGTTCTAGTTTTTAAAATCACCCTGTATTTTATGACAAATATTTCACAATATTTCTTTCTCAGATATAAACTGATAATAATTCAAGGAACATTATTACGCCCGTTATAATAACATCGCATTTATATGACACATTTTCTCACTAAAATTAAAATGTGATTTATCACTGTGCATCTACTTCTTTCTCCTTGTTAGTTATTAGATAATATTTATTTACCCTTGTCATCTGGGGTGATTTTATTCCAGAAAGATAGATTAAATCATTATATTTTCTGTTGTAATAGGAAACGAGTGAAAATTAGCAAAGATGTACGGCCTAATTTTAGAAAACTTGTCTGAATACATACGGCAGATCTATGGAGAAGATAGATGGGAAGAGATTCGACGACAGGCAGCCGTAGATCAACCTAGTTTCAGTGTTCATCAGGTTTACCCTGAAAATCTTATACCCAGATTAGCGAAGAAGGCTATTCAGGTAAGAATGGCATAAAATTATTTTTAATTTCATACTATCACGTATGCTCTCCAAGAATATTAAAATTAAAATAAAAGAATTACAATTTTTATTGGATCTCGTTGTCACATTTACAATCTCACAAATCTTTTTTTGTAGCAGTGTAATGTTAAAATAAACTGGAAGGTATTCATTACATCACATTAACTATTTTAAAATTATGAGAAAAAGAATAAAAATGATAATTTACAAAATTATGAAAAATGGACGACACAAAGTGATAATAATGAAATAAAATTCAGTATTTTTTTATATTATTAGATCAAATAATATTTAAGGTTCAAGTTTTAACAAGTCAGTCATAAATAATTTATTTTTTAATCACGCAAGAAAAATAATGTTAGAAAATAATAATGTATCGCTAAAAATAATAATAAATAATTAAAATTACAAAATTAAGAATATTAATTCGTAATGTTTACTCATTATTTACTACTGATTGAATGATTAACATGTAAAAAATGATTAATGAGTAAAAAATGTACATAAATAGTGTTTTAATAAGGGAAGAAAAATGGTCTCCAAAGAAATTTTGGTCATTGCACTTAAATTGTAGAATTCCAAGAAACGTAGGAAATTTAAATTGTACTCAAACATAAATAAATGAATCAATATTCAAATATAACACTGTCCAACAGCCAATTGGCGTTTCTATTTTCATTCAGTGTTTCTTATAGCCTTTTTCGCGCTGATTACGAATCTGCAACCCGTTTTTCTGCAGCACGTACAGTTTTTGAGAAATTTGAGTTTGAAAAAAAAAACACATTTTTTAAATGTGAACCAATTTTGTGAGGTAATTATAAAAGATACTAAGATTCTGTTTACATCAAAAAATTCTATAGACTTTCCCGAATACAACGATACCTGCGTTTTATGCATTCTGAATGTTTAAACATGTTTAAATGAACATTGAACGCCGAGAGACATGGATTTTGCACCAATTTTTGCGTATATTTTTCAATTTATCTTAAAAAGTAAGGGTCTAGTGGAAAATTGAACTATACCACACGATAGAGCAGATTTTCACCTTTAAAATGCACCCCTAGAAAGTTGCAACGTCGTTTTTTTTACGATGCCAAAAAGCAAAATAGCAACGCGCGACACGAGACGAGGCTAGTGGTGCTCTGCATCAGAGCAGCCGTTCCGTATCGCGCCTATATTAACGGTCATTTAAACATATTTAAACATTCAGAATGCATAAAACGCAGGTATCGTTGTATTCGGGAAAGTCTATAGAATTTATTGATACAAACAGAATCTTAGTATCTTTTATAGTTACCTTACAAAATTGGTTCAAATTTTAAAAATGTGTTTTTTCTTCAAACTCAAGTTTCTCAAAAACTGTACATGCTGGAGAAAAACGGGTTACAGATTCGTAATCAGCGCAAAAATGCTATAAGAATCACTGAACGAAAATAGAAACGTCGAAAAAGAGCTAAAATTTATTGGACAGTGTTATTTATTACAGTTCTACAGAAGTAGATTTATAATTAGAATTATCGAAATCGTTTACAAAACATTATAACATTTTTACACAAGTAGTGAAACTATTGATGCTAAGTTAGTACAGTGAGATAGGATCAGTCGATTCGGTTATTGAACCGAAACGTTCTATCTGCATGCATAATTTTCACATTGGTAATTAATTCATAATGACGAGTTAATATTGAATTATGTGTACGGATCAAATACTGAATACTAGCACCAGTGGGCCATGTAATGGAGAAATACGGAAATCCGCGGCATGAACGAAATATCCGCAAAGAATAATATTTACGTTGGATTCGTGACATTAAATAAACATGCTTTGTATACGTCGAATTTATTGTCAGGTTCATTTAATATTTCATACGTCTACACTCAAGATACTCGCATACCCATACGGTAATTCAATACATTAAACGTACTTTATGCCTTACAATTTTTATCTTTTGCAAGTACTGTGTATTGGAAATTTTAAACATACCATAAGTAGGAAAACTATTCAACAATTGCACAGACAAGTCGCTTAACCCTTTGACTTACAATATCGTGTTACATTCGTAATGCACATTACAGTTCAATTACAACTAAACAAAATTATATTCGTAGCTCGATTGAGTCTTGAGTTTAATACCAGCTATAATTTGCATAATCAAGGATCCCTAAATCCAAAACATACCTAACATTTCATCTTCTTTATTTCTTTTAATACGGCAGTAATAATTCGTTCCTACCGCTATTACCGTATTTATAGTCAACTTGTTAAAACAGTCATTCTATATGTATTACGATATAAGAAACATGTTTAAATTTTAACAAAAGGCAAATGTTAGTTTAAGTATTAAGTTACGAATTTTTCTGAAATGTGCAAATTGTAGTCTGCTTACTAATCGAAAAATTAAATTGACAATGTCTCTCTTAATTACAAGAAAGCAGGTAAGATGCAGACTAATTACAGCAAGGGAAGTCAGTTTTATTTAAGACTAGTGTATACATTTATTTCTTGAATAATGTATAATAAAATAATGAAGTAAAATAAGACGTTGCCGAAATGCACTATATTATCAAATTCTCACATAATCTATTTTAAATTTAGTAATCTTGATTAAGAGTACCCGTATCATATTGTTGCCAAATATCATTTTATAAACGGGTATTAAAAAATGATTCATTCGTCAATATTTTCTGTTCCTTGTACAGAGTGTTCCAAAAATAGTGTAAAACACAACATACAGATTCTATGTTAGAAATAGACGTTAAAACATTCATGGTAACTGCATATATCCTGTGAAAAGTTAGCGCACCATTTGGGTACATTTTTTAATCAAATTTAGAAATTAAAATTTAAAAATTTAGAAATTTTTCGTTCGCAAGCACGTGGACGTCAAAAAGAATTAATTAGTTTCGAAAAAAATTCGTGATTGAAGAAGTAATATCTAGAATATTGAACTTACACATTCTACAAAAACGTAGCGAGTGATTTCATAATTGTACAGAAACTTTTGCGAGGAGAATTTATAGTTTGTGTACTATTTTTCGAACGTCCTGTATGTATTTTTCTCTGTGCTTTCTGATAAGGTATGTTCCGCAACAGTAAAAACAGATGGTTAGAAAAATTTGTACTTATACGTTACACTTAAATATGCTTACTTAATTCATGGTATATTATATTTTTCGCTCGTATCACAGGTACTTGGCATTACGGAAAAAGAATTTTTCGATCAGATGGGTGTACACTTCGTAGGATTTGTTGGGCAGTACGGTTATGATCGTGTGCTTTCAGTACTTGGACGTCACGTAAGAGATTTCCTTAATGGATTGGACAATTTACACGAATATCTGAAATTCTCCTACCCTAGGATGAGAGCTCCTTCGTTTATATGTGAAAACGAGACGCGACAAGGTGAGTGATTTTTGAGTAACTAATTACACATTTTATTTTAATCATTCCAATTACGGTAGCCATTCAATAAATCCCTACTATGCAGAGTAGGGCAATAACTATTAACACTTCAAATATCTTTCAATTTATAAGACCCAAAGAAAAATTAGTATAACCAAAATTATACGGTACAAAGCGGTTTATTATACGTATAGCGATATGTAATAAGTTTTGTCCAAGTGAAGACTTCGGAAATACGAACGTCATCATCTGTTTTGTAAATGAAACGGTATGTTTTTTTACTTACGTTTTAATAGAGTATTCCAAGGCGATTTATTGGAAAGATCATTTATGGCTTGGGTTAAGCTAATTGTAATGGAAATTAATTTACTTTTAGGAAATGGTCAAGTGTCGTTGATTTACTTAATTAACAGTAACACACGACTACGCTCAGCATACGAATGAACGCCATCTCTTACCATTTGACGACACTCCTCATAAACAAAAACTATATCTACTTTTCCCGCTATTGAATAACGCATTTTAGAAACTTGAGATTTGCATCGTTCGGCAGATATTCTCATAAACGACTAATCATAGCATGTGCAGATGAAGTGTGCAGCTTGATTTAATATTTATATCGATTTAACAAGCCATTACGAGATAGAGATAAAGTACATAATATCAACAATCAGAGACGGCAAGGAAATTCGACCATTTCCTGAAAGTAAATTATTTTCCATCATAATTGTCTTAACCCGGACCATGAATGATCTTCCCAATAGATCATTGTATTCGCCTTGAAATACTCTATCAAAATGTAAGTAAAAAAACATACCGCCGCATTTAAAAACAACGGTGATCACCTTCATATCACCGAAAGACCTCTCCTGGACAAAAATTACTAACGCTATACTATAACAGACCCCTTCGTACCGTGGAATTTTGGTTACATTATACTTTCTCTGAGCCTTATAGATTTAAAGATATTTAAGGTGCTAATAGTTATTGTTCCATCCTGTGTACAGCAGAATTTCGATATTTTCCTGCGCCAGAGGCTCTAAGGACAGCATAGAAAATTACTTGACTACCATGTTTCACAGGCCTCACTCTTGATTTTTTCTTTCAATAGTAGCATATTTTAAATTGGAAACCGTTTACTCAGAGTCCCGAAATAGCCAATAACGTTAAATTGATAATGGTATTTTTCAGTCAAATCCATATCGCGAAGTTCAATTTTTAAGAAATTGTATGTATATTTTAACTATAAGATACAAGTTACGCGAATAATAAATTTTTCTTCACTTGTTTCATACATCAAGACCATTATTTTATTACCAAAACATTTTGTTTGTCCCTTGTGTTCTTTACATGTAATGTTGCATTTGTATATTGTTACGAATAGAAATAGATTAGCGAGGGAAAATCAGAGCATGAAACAGTAGCCAAAACAGCACACAAATGATCAGACGAAACTAAAGGGGTTTTCGGGAGCAACTAGTAAAGAACAGCAGGTATGGCGGTCCCATGCCTCGAAACCCTCCGTGCACAGGGAAACCTGTGGCCATATTCGTCGAACACCATGAGTATTTCGGCATGAAAAACATCACCGTAGCACCGAGGGTTTAGAATTTGTCCGGGAATGGTGGTGCTTACCATAACACCGAGGACCACACCGCTCGGGAAAGATAAAAACCCGGGCGGTGGCGAGCTAGTTCGACCCGCGTTCCGGCTGGCTGTCTGCGGAATCGGTAGCACTCGAGAACCTACCTGAAATTAGCACCCGACTTTCAAAAATTTTATTTCTTTCAATTGCATCGTATTTAGCATCGTTTGTACCCGTTTGTACCACCTTTGTTTTCGTTTGTACCCCAAGGGGTGAAAAGTTACTAGGGGGTGAAAAATACCCCAGCACCCCACTTTAACATTTTTTAATTCTTTCAAAGCCATCATAAAAAGGGACGTCCGTAGAGGTTTGTACCACCCTCACTTTCGTTTGTACCCCAAGGGGTGCGTTTATACCGCGTTTTGAAAGTACGTCCAAGGGGTAACTTCGCCATTTTTTGAGATATTCCAAATCTTCTTGCGGGTGCTGATTCCTAGTC